TTTACAACCACCAAGCTTGCCTGATCCAGAGCATTCTCTGTAGACAGAGGAAGAGAAGGGACAGAGCTCCTAACTTATCCTTGCCCATGTAAGCCAATGCTCCCCGCCCCACAGCCTGCAGGGAGCTTAGCGTAGCAGCCAGGAGTGCCGCCCTGCCTCCCCGCTCCAGCCTCGCCTCGTGTCCTCACGGAGTGCCCACGGACACGCACTGCGGAGGAGGGCGGCCATTTGGAGGCAGGTGTCCCCCTTGGAGGCCCGCTGGCGGCAGAGATGGAGGTGACTCATCCACTCAAAGGCCCAGGCTCCCGACCCGCCTGTCAGGAGGGGCTGGCACTCCTGGAGGCATGGGGAGGGGAAGGAGGGGTGTGGGGGCCACAGGGCCAGGCGGCTGAACAGCCACCTGTGCAGCTGAGGAGTCTGGGCCTCTAGAGCCTCCTTTCCCAAAGACGGAGGAACCACTGCATGTGGCGCCTTCTGTGCTTAGATACTCAGCTCCACCTGCCTTCCTCTCCATACCCCAGCTAACATGCAGTACATGTGAGCTATTTGGGAGCACATTTAATCACTACTACCCATGAAACCACTTCTGTCTCTGTGTCTGTGTCTAGGTCTGTGTCCCCCCCCCCCCGCCTGGTGTACAGACTTTTGGTGAATCCATTTTCACATCTCTTAGACAAATGTGCACCCAGAAGTGGGGGGCAGGGGTTGTGTTATATGTCGTGTGATTAACTCTGCAGGACTTCAAGTCTCCCACACACAGTTCCAAATAGAAGCTGGCGATATTCTGTCCTCCAGGAGGTGGCCTTATTCCCTCCCAGGGAGTGGGGGGCAGTGCACAGCCATTTCCTTCCTAAAAGCCCGGAATAGACAGGGAGATTTTAAAGTGCTATTTCTGCAGTGGCAAAGTCTAACACACCCAACCTCAGCCAAGCACTCAAGGTCAGCTCAGCCGTGCTGGGCAGTGCTGACATGGGTGGCCTTGTGGAGGGGGGGGCGCGTCCTCTCTAGCTGTCCAGCCCCATCCTGAGGCATTCAGGAGCCGTCTCCTCCATCCAGGCCGCGTGCTTGCTGGTTTGCCTCCAGTTGCCCTTGTCCGCCCCCGGGTCATGATGACGTGGGTTTGGTTTCGCCTGCTGGGAGATTTTCCCATTAGGTTTCTGTGGCTGGCTTCCGGTGGGATTCCATCATGGTAGGAGCATGGTTTCAGTTGTTTTAAATTTGCGTCACAACCCAGCCATGGTGTGGTGTTCTTGAGAGGAGTGTGTATTTGGCTGCTGTTTGTGGAACGTTGTATCAGTGTCCTCCTGCAGACACAGCCCCTCCACCTGTCCTCCGTGCTCCCCCTCCGTGCTCCCCTCAGTGCTCCCCCTCCGTTCCATGTTCCATGCTCCCCTCCGTGCTCCCCTCAGTGCTCCCCCTCCGTTCCATGTTCCATGCTCCCCTCCGTGCTCCCCTTCCCTGGAGACAGCACGGGGCACAAGAGGTCAGAACAGAGATGACCAGAGGGAAGCTGTGGGCAGGTGGCCCCTGTATGAGAACCCCTCGACTCCACGCCTGCTCCACGGGTGGGCGTGGCGCGGCCCCCCGCCCTGCTGATGCCAGTTCCCACGCGGGGCTATCTCACCCGGCCCGGGTGGCCGGCCGCCGCCTGCACTGGGCTCGCAGGCCCTCTGTCCTCAGAGGCGGCCACAGCCCCGCTGCACCGCCTGCTAGGCGTGAAAGCCACATTTGACGACAAGATGAGTGATGTGGACTTGCTGAGAACTGAGAGGAATCCGGAAGGCGGGGGCTTCAGAGCTCTTCCCAGAGCCCGGTGAAGCCAAGCGGGAGGAAGCCTCAGGGGTGCGGCCGACTTGCTCCCTGCCTTCCCCGGGGAACTGCGTTTCCATTAGACATGAACACTCCTCATGCTATGCTCACCTTCTATTTCAAGTGGCAGAATTAACGTAGCAACATATACATCGCATTCTTCCTGGTGCATACTCTCTCAGCTTGTAGCTCTTATAAATATGGCAAAGGGGCTGGGAAGGTGGCTCAGTGGTAGAGCGCTTGCCTTGCATGCCTGAGGCCCTGGGTTCGATTCCTCAGCACCACATAAGCAAAAAGAAAAAAGCCAGAAGTGGTGCTGTGGCTCAAGTGGTAGAGCGCGAACCTTGAGCTGAAGAGCTGAGGGACAGCGCCCAGGCCCAGAGTTCAAGCCCCACGACCGGACCCCCCAAAAAAATGGCAAAGGTGTCTGAGCATGTTTGGGTGACCGCTTTCGGACAGAGTGAGTAGGGATGCTTCCGTGATGTTGTTGATCGTATTTCAACGCTAGGGAGGACTTTAGAAGGCCACAAGGGGCCCAGGGCCCACACCGGAGAAGGACACTGACCACACTCACAGCTCTCCTCTTGGCCCGCTGCGCAGCAAGGGGCGGGTTTTGGACTGGCTGGGAAGTCTGGCCCAGGTGGCTATTTGGAGGACGGGTTAGCATTTGCCAGGCTCCCTGAGGCTCCTATGGAATGGCGACCACCCTCCCTGCTGCGTGGGTAGCTCTGACCAGCCCCACAGTGCAGAGTGCCTGCCTGCCCGCCAGCCAGGGTGACCAGTGGCCCGCGTAGGCGGTGATGGACGCCGGTGGCGTTATACTAGAGGGCTGGCTGCGGCTGCCCGGGTCCCTGCACCACAGAGGCCCCGGAGCTCTCCTCCCACAGGGACACGTGTGCTCTGCACATGACTCAGGCTGCCAGGACAGAACCCCAGTCCTGAAGAGAATGGCTGCGTATCCGTTTCCACCCCTAACCCTGGTGGGTTCCCTGGAGAGGGCACTCATCCCCAGATCCATCAGACCAGTGATGGCAGGCGCTCCCTCTGCACAAAAGCCTGGGCAGTGCTCCTTGCCTTTGCCCAATCACCCAGAAGGACAGAGGGCCGAGGCAGTCGGTCCAGATTGCATCCAGCTGCCCGAATTGTTGGCTGTGTCCTCTTGTTGTTAGACAACCACAGCTGTTCACCGAGGGGGCCTGGCCGTGAGTTGGACGTTTGGCATAGCAGGGGTCACCGGCCCGCAGTCCCTTTGACCGCCCCCTCCACCGGAGCTCACCTGTGTAGATTGAAAGCTGGGGCACACCCAGCTGTGGAAAGGCTCAAGGCCAGGAGGCTCAGGCTGGGAGGGGCTCCTGGGATTCTGTTCCCTCCCTCCCTGGTCCCCCCCCCCCCGCCCCGGGGTTGCTGAACTCTTAGATACTTCTATTTTGGGGGAATGTGGTAAAGTAGGACTTCCGGAGCCTTCCGTGAAGAGCTGAGTCAAGGGAGGATGTGTGTGGGGAGGAACCTGTCTCCCCTGCAGATCCCAGATCAAGAGGCATCGTACAGACTCGCCCCTTCATGGCTGGGCTCTCCAGAACCTTTCTGGTCTTGGTTGTAATTTCTTCTGTCACTCCTGGTTCACAATTCCCGACATCCTCTATCACATTTTGTTGATTCAACTCCCAAGAGTGAATATAGGTGCAGATGGAGCCTTAGAGTGCCCGTTGGCATAGAGGAATTTTCCACATTGGCTGGGTTCTCAGATCTAAGCCTCGCTATCCTTCCTGCCCAGAAAAGTGGTCGCCCCTGCCTCCTACACTGCCTCCCAGAGGGCCCTTTCCCTTGGCCCTCGCTCTGCCCTTACCAAAGGGGCTGCTCCAGCGCTTCCTAGATGCAGGGGTCCTGGGCATCCTGCGTGCCGCCCTGGCTCACCCCAGACACCCCTCCAGCTCCCTCCTGGGAGGGTCTGGAGTGCTACTGACCTTCTGTGTCCTGCGAGGACTCGTTGAGCAGTGTGGTTGTTATTGATACATTTTGGGTATTGATTTGATTTTGTTTTAAAAGATAGCAACCTCGAGATGGGTCTGGAAAACTTCAGCCATGGTTAGGATAGGGGATTCGGCATTGGCCAGTCCACCAATCACGCAGTGCAGGCTGAGGTCTTTCTGTCCTTAAAGCTGAAACAAGTTCCATCGACAACCTGCGTGCCACGATGCCTGTGCTCTGCGTGTCTGCAGGGGTGCAGACGCGCACCCGAGCCAGCCCTGGCCTCCTGCCCCACGTTCTTTGTGCTCACAGATACCTGTCGGTACGTCACTCTACTGCGTCTGCTCACGGTGCCACCCTCTCCCCCTTTGGACCCGAGCTCTCCTTCTGTCTTCCCTCCTTTCTGCGGCCGGTTATCTTCGTTTCTTCTGAGATGAGAAGGTGGGATGGCACTCAGAGCCGCGGTAGAGACGTGCTGTCTCTCAGCAGAACACAGCTGAGCCAGGCTCCATGCCTGGCGCTGCGTGCCCGTGCCCCACGCCCCTCCCCATAGCCAGCACATCACCCTCGGGCCCTCCATCCCCAGCACATGTGGAGCACTTTACTCCGGAGTCTACATGAAATGCCAGGGAGGGGACTCCGTGTGAACAGGCGTGGTGGGAAGCCGCTTCACAAAATAGGACGTGAGCTGAGGCGTGGGCGGTGAACCAAATTCTGGCATGGGCTTGGGGAAGATGTTGGGAAAGGAGTGGGAACCGGGACGGGAGGGCCACTGTCCCCTGACTGGGTGGCTGCAGGTCCGGACGGGGACGCCAGGCCAGGAGCTGTGGGTGTGGTAAGCACCCGAGAAGCTGGAAGAACCAAAGACAGGGGCGCCCTCAGAGTGAGACGTGGCCGCTTCCCAGCCTCTGAGCCTCGCTGGCCGTCTTCCCTGCCGGCCTGGCTGGCGTTTTCACGAAGCAGGGGAATGGCAGGTGCAGGGCTCTGAATGGGCTGCGCGGCTGGCTGTTGGGAGTGGGCTGGCTCATGTCTCTAATGAGAGTCTTGGGCACGCCTGCCTCCTAGCGGGTCTAACGGTCAACGTACCAAGGGAGCAGCACCCCGATTACTGTCCTCGTGGGCAGTGTGACTCACCGTGTCATTCTCTGCGCGTGGCTGCCCGTGGGGAGGAGAGGCCCCTTGTGGAGACGATGTTTATGTGTCGTGTTGCTCTTGCAGATGCCTTAGGGCCACCGAGCCGCGCCACAGGACCCGGCCTTGGCGGCCTGCACCTCTCAAGGCACCACCGCGGCGCAGGCAGCTGGCATTGACGGGGCAGGAAGCCGCTCCGCGGGCTCCCCGGCCTCCGCAGCAGCCCACCCGCCATGGAAGCCCCCGAGGTCCCTGTGGGCTCACTGATTGACTTTGGGCCAGAGCTGCCCACCTCCCCTTCTCTGCAGGCAGCCCCCCCTGCCGCGCAGGACAGGGACAGCTCCCTGGGAGATGATGCGTCGGAGAGCGAGGCCACGGAGTCCGCAGACAGTGAGAACGACATGGGCGAGTCACCCTCGCACCCATCCTGGGGCCAGGACCGCCGCTCCTCCTCCAACGAGTCCTTCTCCTCCACCCAGAGCGCCGAGTCCGCCCCCGACGCAGAGAGCCTGGCCCTCCGGGAGTTCATGCGCGGCTACGTGGAGAAGGTCTTCTCGGGAGGGTAGGTACTGCCTCCTGCTCCAGGCCCCCCTCCCCCAGCCCATCTCGCTGGCACGGAGAGGCGCGTGGGAGGTTGCAGAGGGCATCTGAGCTGGGCTTCACCCCAGACCAGCGATGCCAGCTCCCCGGGGGGTGCAGCCTGCCCCACGCAGAGGGCAGCTGCGCAGAGAGCCCCAAGGGCCCCTTCCTCTGGACCCCATTCCTCTCACACTCCCCCAGACCTCTGCTCACAAGTGAGGCAGGTGCCAGGGCACCTTTGCCACCATGCCCATTGTGCAGCTCCGGGCCCTGCATGCTACTCCTGCCAGCACTGGACACGGCCGGGTGGACTGTCCACTCTCTGCCCCTCAGTCCTCTCACTTCTTACCTGTGTGCCTTCATGGCCCAGGAGGCAGGTCCTAGAAAAGACAGGGCTGTGCACTTATCTTCAGTCGTCTCTTAGGCAAGCGAGCAGCGGAAAGCAAAGGAAGAAAGCACAGCTCTCTTGGGCCCTCATCAGCTCTCTTCTTTGCCAACACATTATTTAGAAACTTCTCTGTGTCTCCGCAGTCAGCTCCCTGTGGAGCCGTCGTTTTCCCCACTGCCCAGCCATTCTACAGTGCTCGGCTCACCTTGTCCTTGCCAAATCCAAGGACAGACCGCCTGGCTTCTGTGCCAGGGTGGCTTCTCGCTGGCTTGTCTCCTTGAGCATCTGGCTAGAGGTGGCGGTGACTGGCTGGAATTAAATGTACAGGCCACACAAGGTGGCAGCGTTCTAGTCCCCAGTGATTCCTGAGCAGCGGTCTGCTCTCAGTCTCCTGCCCCCTCTCTGGGCGGGGGGTGGAGGGGTTGTGTTTCAAGATAAGGTCTCACTATGTAGCCAAAGCTAACCTCGAACTCTTGATCCTCCCACCTCCCTAGTGCTGGAATTACAGGAGTATACCACAGAACTATATAACCTTCTGCTTCCTTTTTGAGTGTTTGCAAGAGAAGCAAAGCATCTTCAGGTCCAGGGCTCAGACCTCCCTGGGCAGAGCCAGGCAGGGTGCGGGCTCCAGAACCCAAGGTCTGATCTGCCATGGTCAGCTGGTCTGAGTCTCAGGCCTCTGCCAGAAGAACGACACACACGTGCTGTGGATGGCGGGGAGGGCACGCAGGCGGCAGGGCTCCCCCGTTCCGGCCCCTGTGAGTCTTTGTTCCAAAGGACTGAGCCGTGTGCCCTTGTCTTCTGCCCTTCCTCAGGGAGGATTTGGACCAGGAAGAGAAGGCCAGGTTTGGGGAGTACTGCAGCAGTGAGGACGGGAAAGGCCGCGAGTGGTTTGCACGCTATGTCAGCGCCCAGGTGAGCTGCAGGTGGGAAGCAAGCAATGGTAACAGACTCCCAGCTCCTTCCTGTACCCACACTCCACGGAAGAGACAGCATGGGGAAGCTGCTCAGCCGAAAGGCGGCGTAGAGCCGGACAACAGCAAGGCGCTCATGGGGCACCACCAGGTCCATAAAAGCTTCACTATGTGGGCTCTCCATGAATTTCTTCCCTTTTTTTGTGTCAGTCATGGGGCTTGAACTCTGGGCCTGGGCGCTGTCCCTCATCTCTTCAGCTCAAGGTTAGCGCTCTACCACTTGAGCCACAGCGCCACTTCTGGTTTTCTAAGTGGTTTATTGGAGATAAGAGTCTCTTGGAAGCTGGGCGCTGGTGGCTCACGCCTGTAATCCTAGCTACTCAGGAGGCTGAGATCTGAGGATCGTGGTTCAAAGCCAGCCCAGGCAGGAAAGACCGTGAGACTCCTATCTCCAATAAACCACCAGAAAACAGGAAGTGGCGCTGTAGCTCAAGTGGTTGAGCGCTCGCCTTGAGCTGAAGAGCTGAGGGACAGCGCCCAGGCCCAGAGTTCAAGCCCCACGACCGACAAAAAAAAAAAAAGACTCTCTTGGACTTTCCTGCCCAGGCTGGCTTTGAACCACAATCTTCAGATCTAAGCCTCCTGTGTTGCTAGGATTACAGGCATGAACCACCGGCGCCCAGTTCCATGAATTTCTTTTTTTTTTTTGCCAGTCGTGGGGCCTGAACTCTGGGCCTGGGAGCTGGCCGTCAGGTCTTCAGCTCAAGGCTAGCACTCTACACTTGAGCCAGAGCATCACTTCTGGCTTTTTCTGCTTATGTGGTGCTGAGGAATCCAACCCAGGGCCTCATGCATGCAAAGCAAGCACTCTACCACTGAGCCACCTTCCCAGCCCCCAAATTTCTTAAAAATAATCTTTAATATTCTGTTTTTGCAACTGATCAATAATATATTCAAGACAATGAAAGCCATGTAAAGAAGACTGTATTAACAAAGCTCAAAACAATTTTATAGGTATTCAGTAGACATTTTTTCCAAGTGATATAGTCTTCATAGAAGAAAAAGAAAATACAGAAGAAGCTACCAACAAATCCATGAGCCAGAAATAGCCAGCGTTGGTTTGGAGTTTGTCCTCGCAGGCTTTTAGGTGTGGGTGACAGTGTGAAGTCCCTACATGGCTCAGCGATGTGAGGATGAGCCCCTGCGGGTGCAGGTGGGCGTGGGGGGAGGGGCTGTGCCCCACCAGGAATGGAAGTGGCTTGGGCCCGGCCAGCCCAGCAAGCCCTCAGCTCACCCTCACGCACCTGGCTTCTCTCCACAGCGCTGCAAGTCCAAGTGCGTGTCCGAGCCCACCTTCTACCGCCTGGTGCAGTCCTTCGCGGTGGTGCTGTTCGAGTAAGTGACCCCCCCCCCTCCCCAGCCTGGGCCTGACAGCTGCTGTTCCCACCACCTCCCCCCTGGGGAGCCACACCACCCCTCCCCACAGCTGCTCGGCCAGCCGGCCGTGCCCAGCGTCAGCCAGAGGGAGATGTGTGACAGGAAAGCCGTGCAGCTGGTCCTCACCAGTGTTAACGATCAGAGAGCTGCAGCGAGGCCCAGGCGCAGCCCCCCACCCCCACCCCATGTGACGCCCTGGCACCCCCACCTCAGCTCTGAAGTGTGTGCATTTCCCACAGTGAACTGCTCCAACTAGGTTGCCACCCCTCCCGAGCAGACTGAGAGCAGCGGGCAAGTGTGGAGCAGGGGGCTGTGGGGAGTGGGGACAGAAGAGCAGCCCCTTCCTGCCTCACCTGTCACCTGTCAGGGAATGGGCATGTGACCACACAGTCTCCCTCCCAAGATTGCTAGAGCTGCTGCGTTTTCTTTTGGCTTTGGACCATAGAAGCCTGGGACGCTGGAAGGAAGCGGTGTTGCCTGCCTGGAGGCAGACCTGCTGCTGGACAGGGAAGAGGGCTGTGGTGGGGCAGAGCACGCCCTCCCTACACAGGCACCAAGCCCATTCTCTTCCTCCTCTTAGGTCTGAGAAGGGCCCTCCTTTACTCTCCCCCTCCAAACAGAGGCCACTGTCCCCGGAGTCCTCATGTTACCCTCTGGAGCTGTCATTCTCTGGCCTCTCCATTCCTCTTGCTTTTTCTCCTCCCCTTAAACGTGGGCACGCATTGTAGAGAGGGTAGGAATCCTTCCTCCCCTTCCTGCGCTCCCTCAGCGTGTCCCAAGCCCCGGACACAGGGCTGTCAGGGTCTGATGGGCTGGGAGGGAAGGGAGGGGAAGCCCTCAGTGCAGTTGTTTCCTCAGGCCTCCAGGCTGCCTCCTGTGAGCATCCTTGTGCAGACATTTGCAGCTGTAGCATTTTTGTGAGCTCTTATTTTACAAAGTACCACAGGAGTATTTATGGAGTTATATGTTATTAGTGTCTTCAGTTTTTACTTCACCCTCTGATCATCAGTCTTGTGATTGCATTAGAAATTTAGTTCTTTGGCTGGGAATGTGGCTTAGTGTTGAGTGCTTGCCTAGCATGCATGCATCAAATGTAGGGGGGTTAGATCCCTCAATACCATATACACAGAGAAAGCCAGAAGGGAGCACTGTAGCTCAAGTGGTAGAGTGCTAGCCCTGAGCACAGAAGCTCAGGAACAATGCTCAGGCCCTGAGTTCAAGCCCCAGGACTGGCAAAAAGAGGAAGACATTTAGTTCTTTAAATTGACTAGCACTTTTTAAATAACTTTATTTAATGAAAATGGCCCTTAATCCTACTATGTAGCATCTACATTCTAGATGACTCTCATTTAAAACTAATAATTGTCCAAGGTTAAAAACTACACAGAGAAGTGTGAAAGGGAACAGAAAAGAAAGGCAAACAAGCTTCCTTGCAAAAACAGCCCCTTCCCCACCCCTACTCCCACCCGCAGCACTTTCCTGGTGGAACCCACAGCAAGTGGCACAGCGCAGAGCAGGTGGAGCCCTCCACAGAGGACGCTGCATCCACCAGGCGCAGTCCTCACACCTGTCATGCTAGGTGCTCAGGAGCTAGAGAACCGGAGGGTTGTGGTTTGAAGACAGGCTGAGCAAAAACTTAGCAAGGCCTCATCTCAGCAAGTAGGTTGTGTGTGGTAGAACACACCTGTCATCCCAGCTACATGAGACAGAGGTAAGAGGATCATGCTCTAAAGCCAGCCCCAAACAAAAAGTGAGACCCGACCTGGACAGTAAGCTAAAGCAAAAAGGGCTGGGGGGTGTGGTTCAAGAGGTAGCGTGTCTGCCTAGCAAGTACAAGGCCCAGGAGCACATCCTGTCCACACACAGCCATACATCTGCAGTGGCTGTGTGGCATCCTGGCGTACGCATCTGCCAGCATGAATTCCGCTCCGCCTTTCTCACTGTCAGCACTGTGACAGTCTACAGTCATTCCTGTGCCATAGACCCCCTTCCACGCTTTCCCTGTTCTGTTTGCTGAATGGAATTATCTATACATATTTCATAACCATAACACATAAGGTATAACCTTAAGTATAGTGCAATATAGCAACAATAATTCTCGACAGTTTTGGCACACTGTTCAATATGTTTCTTTTATGGACTAGTTTGTCTTGCTTTTCAACGAGTATTGACACAATTCTTGTTCTCCAAATCCAGTCCTGGGCCAGGAGCGTGGGGACAGTGTGGTCCAGGTCTTTCCTGGCTCAGGCCCTCCCTGCCCAAGGCTCACTGGGCCAACAGTGGGGCCTTGTCCGGTCCTTGTCTTTACCACCCCCTGGGGATCTGGGCTCCCAGCCCGTGGTGTGGAGACATCACGTGACTTATAGCTGATGCCTAAGGAGCAGAGGCTGCTGGCGAGGGCCCTGAGCCACTGGCTGGAGCAAGGCTGGGAGTGGCTTCTGGCCTGACCATGTGAACGTGAGCTGGGCTCAGTGTGCTGATCGCCACCCTAAAGTGACAGAGGGCATCTAGGGGACCAAAGCATTCTCCCACTCTGTCAGACCCAGCCTTGGGCTGTGCGCCCAGAAGAGGCCCCTAGCTGGCTCTGGGGGGGTATTTTTGTCCCTGCCGTGGCATTGTCTTGGGAGTGAGGGGTTAATTTCAACGTGTCCCAGTCTGATCTGATTGCGTCCCCACCGGGGCCCTGCTTCCCATCCAGGTGCCATCAGATGGATGACTTCGGCCCCGCCAAGAATCTCATGACCATGTGCTTCACCTACTACCACATCGGTGAGACCCGGCTCGGCCTTGGCCTCCACACACTTCTACCACCGAGGCCGCCGCTGGCCAGCTGGCAGCATGGCGAAAGCTGTGGGCTTCCAAAGAGCAGAGGCCAAGGATAGGGAGGGGACAAGCCAGTAGTGAGGCACTGGAAGTGGATGGGCCACGGGCCGTACTGTGGGCAGCGCCGCAGTCCACAGAGCAAAGGAAAGGCATGCTGGCAGGAAATGAGGCCAGGGTGTCATGGGCGGGGGGAGGCGGGAATACTGGGGGAATCTCAGCTTTATGTTTTCACAAAACATACTTGCCTCCGAGGCCTCCCCCGCCCCCCAGATCCCATGACCGTGCCCTGTCCTGGGAACGCCTCTGGTCCTCTCACGCCGCACACACTGTCCAAAGGCAGACTTCATCTGCGGGCTGCCGCCTGCCGCCCCCCAGCTCCTTCCTGACTCCTCTGCACACAGCCGGTGCCCTTCCCGTGTCCCAGCACCCATTGGGGCATGTCTCTGGCTACCTCTGGGGTGACAGCTTCCCACCACCGAGGCAGGGAAAGCCCGAGACACTCCAGGAGCCTCCTGTGCCAGCCGCTGCCTGGCTCTTCACCTCCTCCCTCCACCCAGGCAAGCCGCACCTGCTCCCCTCCGAGCCCAGGGAGAGAGCTGCTGGCAGCATCGACTCCTACCTGAAGTCGGCCAACAGCTGGCTGGCGGAGAAGAAGGACATTGCCGAGAGGCTGCTGAAGAACACAGAGAACATGAAGGGCTTCTTCGGGGGGCTGGAGACCAAGCTCAAGGGACCTTTGGCCAAGAAGAATGAGTGAGTGGCCCGGGCAGCCTCTGCCTGGTGGGGAGAGGCCCTCCGAGGCTGGGCGGGCTGTAGCCAGCTCAAGGCCTACTGGGATTCTGTGCCCACAGCCTCCCGTGGTGTCCACTCCCCCGCACAGGCAGTCCAGGGCTGGCTCTTGGACCGATGAGCCCACAGTGACTGCCAGTTGACAGTGGGGGACATCACACCTCTGCCCCACCCTGTCCTCTCTGGGGGCACTTAGTGGCCAGGGAACCCAGGAAGACCCCTGCGTGTCCCTGAACACCTCTAATGGGAGCCACACAGCCTGCCTCCGCTGTGCCAAGTATCTTTGATTGGCGGGAACATGAAGTGGGCCACATTTGACATTTCTGTGGCTTTTCTTTCTCCAGAGAAGATGAGAACAAACCCAAGGACAGGCAGCCCAAGGCGGGTGAGTGCTGTCCGCAGGAGCCGGTGGCAGAGCTGCGTGGGGGGGGGGGGACATTCGTGAGTAGGGCGGGGGAGGCAGGACCTTGTAAAGCCAGACTCCCGGTCATAAGAGACTATAACCTGAGGGTTGTAACCACTGGCCTGTGGTTAGCCAGTAATACCAGTTGGAAACAGCTCAGGGCTATGCTTCCCTCTAAACACAGAACGGCGCCTTAGAGAGTTCACAAGTTGGTCTGTGTTTTCTTACTGAATGTCTATGGATGCCTGAGGAAGCTACTCCTCAGTCCCAGGGATGTTGAGAGGTTCAGGGTGGGGCGTCATTTTAGGTCTGTCCCCAGAGGAGCTCTAGCGCCACGTGTGGCGTGCCTTCTCTCACAGGAAACCTGCTGTGGAATTTTTTTCCTTTCTTTTTTTTTCTTTTTTTTTTTGCCAGTCCTGGGGCTTTAATGCTGGGCCCGGGCACCATCCCTGAGCTCCTTTTGCTCAAGGCTAGCACTCTACCACTTGAGCCACAGCACCACTTCTAGCTTTGTCTGTGATTTTTGGAGGTAAGAGTCTCATGGACTTTCCTGCCTGGACTGGCTTTGAACCATGATCCTCAGATCTCAGCCTCCTGAGAAGTTGGAGTTCCAGTGTGAGCCACTGGAGCCCAGCTGCTGTGCAATTTTGACCATGTGTCTTTATAACCTTTCTCCCTCCTACAGAGACCGTGTCCAGCCCCGAGGCTGAGCAGAAGGGGGAGAAGATCTACCTGTACACACACCTGAAGCAGCAGCCCATCTGGTAAGCCGCCACACCCCTTCCCGCTGACCGGGGCAGTGCCTCCTACAGCCCCTCCTCACCGCCTGCGGGTCTGCCGGCAGTACTGGAGAGCAGCCACATCCGTGGTGGGGCAGCCACAGGGGAACACGCATGCTACTCAGTGTGGGCGAGGATGCGGAGATGGTGGCGCTCTCCCCGCTGGTGGGAATGTGCACAGGGCAGGCCCTCGTTAGCACAGTGACCACGTGACCAGCCACTGTGCTCTGGGTCCATGTTCTAGGTCTACGTGGCCACGTGGATGCCTTGCACAGAGGCTTATAGCAGCACTGTGCAGAGAAGCCCCAAAGAGACAGCCTAGATGGCCACCACCAGGAGAAGAGAGGCAGAATGTGGTCTGTCTACACCATTAGTGCTACCTGACCTCAGAAAGGGGGAAACCTGCCGGGCACTGGTGGCTCATGCCTGTAATCCTAGCTACTCAGGAGGCTGAGATCTGAGGATCGAGGTTCAAAGCCAGCCCGGGCAGGAGAGACTATGAGACTCCAATCTCTAATAAACCACCAGAAAACCGGAAGTGGCGCTGTGGCTCGAGTGGTAGAGTGCTCGCCTTGAGCTGAAGAGCTGAGGGACAGCGCCCAGGCCCAGAGTTCAAGCCCCACGACCGACAAAAAAAAAAAAAAGAAAGGGGGAAACCTGGCTGCCTGCAGAGCCACTGCCACACGTGGACTCTGTCATGCTTAGGGAAGGCAGACTCGCTCCCACACGCACAGAATGCCCAGGAGAGGGAAACCCTAGAGGCAGACCTTGCGCTGCCAAGGCTGAGATGGAGGGGCGTGGTGGTGTGTGTAGAGTGATTCCTAATGGACGTGGGGGTGAAAGCATTCTGGAGCTGGATAGTGAGTAGTGATGATTGCACGGCCACGAGTACTCTGAGAACAACATCCATTTTATCTGTGAGCTGCGGATCAACCCCGTGTGGGTGCTGGGCCAGGACCCAGGAAAACACGGAAGACGCTCTATTCACGGTGACGCACGCTGTCTTCTCCTCAGCTCTGCCTCTCCTCGGCTGCTTAGACAAAGTGCTGATGCGGGAGGCTCCACGTCTCAGTGAGGAGCAGCTCAGACCAGTGTCCTCCAGCTTTTCCGTGTCTCCTCCTACAGGCACACGCTGAGGTTCTGGAACGCGGCCTTCTTTGACGCTGTCCATTGTGAGAGGAGGAAGCGATCTCCCACTACCAGGTAGGAGCCAGGTGTGGTCCATTTCCCTGGGGAAGAGGACCAGGGTATGGCTTTGTTTCCCGGTGACTGGCAAGAGCCACAGAGAAGGGCTGAGCTGCCCTGGCCCTGCGTCCTCCACTCCACCACCCTGCAGCCCACCCACTCCTGAGGGGCCCATGTGGTGGCGCCCAGCTTGCACGAGCGCTTCTGTCCTGGGCTCTGGCATGACCTGGCCTGGCCCTCCCGAAAACACAGGCCCCGCAGAATGAGGCCAGCCTCCCCCCGGCCCCCAGCTTCTCACCGTGCAGACACTGAACCCTGGGGATGCTCTTGAAAGCGCAGACCCCACTGAATAAGCCCACCTCCCCTGCCTCCGCTGCTCGCTGTGCGAACGCTGAGCCCTGGAAGCACAGCTGTCCTGGCGCAGCCAGCTGCTGCGGGCGCAGGCCACGCACCGCCCTGAGGGCGGGCTGCACCTCGGGACTCCAGGACTTGTTGAGAAAGCACAGCAGCAGGGAGGGACCTGGTCCTGGCCCTGCCCCGGGGCAGCCAGAGACAGCAACTCTGAGGAAGCGGTGCCAGCCCTGGGTGCCCTGACTAGCTGGCCAGTCCTGAGACTTTGAAGTAAGCCTCTCTGAGCCCTGGTGGCACCTTGTCTTCTCTGTCACTGGGGTGGCCACGAGCCTCTTTCCATCCATGTCAGGGAGAAGGGGCTGAGTGAAGCTGGCTGGAGGCTCTGTCTGCCAGCCCATGGCTGAAACCCATTCCATGCCAGCGTGGCCAAAGATCCACCGTGGGGCCAGGTGGCTGGCCCAGTACCCCTGAGGCGGCCACTGGGGGAACGCATGGGTGGGTGGGACCGAGATCCGGTCCAGGGACTCTCATAGGGCTCCAGGCTGTGCCAGGGGATGTGGTGAGGGCGCCCGGGGTGTGTAGCCATGGAGTCTCAGTCCCCGCGCTCTGCCCTCTGCTTCTGCCTGCGATGACTCCTCCTCGCTTGCTGGCCCGCCGCGTACCGCGCATGACTTTGACGTATTCCTTTGTTTACTGTTTCTGCTGCCGCTCCAGAGGGGATGCTGGAGAGCAGGAGGAGAAGAGGTGTGTGTGTCATGTGACTCCGTTCCCTTTAACAGCGGGGCTGTGGAAGGCTCTGCAGGGCAGGGAGGGTGTCCCTGGGGAGGCCGGCCAGCCCCAGGGCAGGCTGGCAACAAGGCCAGGGCCTGCACAGGTGGGACCTTCTCGCCAAGGCCAGTGTACCCAAGGCAGCCAGAAAACACTTGTACTGGAGCCACGGGAGCCTGTTCTAGCAAAGGGCAGCAGTCTGGAAGCCCATTCAAGCTCAGGGCCTGTGGCGCCCTCTCCTGGCCACTCGGCCTCTGTGCCCATCTCTAATCCATCGTGGACTCCCATGGGTCCACAACCAGGAAATTCACCCAGCTCAGAGGCAACCGGCAGGAGCTGTGTGGTCTCTGCACGGAGGGCCTGCAGGCCAGCAGGTCTGGGGGTCTGTCCTCTAGCTGCTGGGTGATGGGAAGGCTGTGGGAGCAGAGGGGACCCCTGAGGAGCCAGACTGGGACTGCTTCCTACAAGCGCTGGCGGGGCCTGAAGCCTGGGTGGTGTGTGTTTGGTTGAAGTCCAGCCTTTCCACGGACCCAGAAGGCGCCTCCTTTCACTGGAGATGAGCTTGCAGTGTGTTGTCATGAGAAACCTTTTTCTTTTTTCTTTTAGCGATCATGGGGCTTTGAGCTCAGGGCCCTCCACTTGCTAGGTAGGCACTCCCCCCTTGAAGCATGTTTCAGTCCTTTTTGCTTTGGTTATTTTCCAGATAGGGTCTTACATTTTGGCCTGGGCTAGCCCCAGACCTGGCTCCACCGCCTACCCCTGTAGCGGGGTTGCAGCACCAGCCTTGTTAGGAACTTTGTAGGAGCTGTGGCTGGTAACCGACCTGGCGTCAGCAGACAGGCCTGGAATGCGCAGCCAAGCCCCATGCGGACTCCACACCTCTGGCCTGTCCGAGAGCTAAGAGTGCTCTCAGCCGCCCAGGCCCTCCCAGGAACGGCCACCCACCACAGCAGCAGCAGGCCTTGGTGCATCCAGAACCCATTAGAACCCCTCAGAATGCAGGAGCTTAGCCAGTGTCAGGGCTGGGCCTGGTGGGGGTGGGGATGCTCAGGAAGCCCCGCCAGCCCAGCCTCGGCCACTCATGCTCCCCCCACGCCCCTGAGTCAGGTTAACATCGTGGTTCCCCCCTCCCCCCCCCCCGCCACAGCAAGGGATATTGTGCTCGGCCTGGGGCCGGGCAGGGGTCACGGTGCACAGCAGCACACGGCAGGCCAGGTGCCTGGGGACTGGGGCTGGGGAGGGGGAGGGGCAACGGGCGCGACCCCTGGTGGCACACGAGGTGGGGGGGCGGAGGGGTGCCAGGCTCCAGGGGACCTCTGCCCAGCAGAGCCAGCGGTGTGCCCCGGGCCAGCAGGGTGCAGAGCTGAGCTCCGTCCCCTGGGCTTTCTCTCCCTCCGCTTCTCTACCCCTGACTTCTCTCTGCTCCTTCCCCTGTTCTCCTCTTCCTCTCCTCTATTGGGGCCCACCCCGTCCCATCCAGGGTTGTCCCCATGGGGTGTGGGGTGTGGGCCAGCACAAGCTCCTCCCACCTCTGACGGTCCTTCCCCCCTCCCCTTCCCCCCTGCCCTCCCCCCTGCCTCCCCCCTGCCTCCCTCCGTCCTCCCAGAAGGACTTTGTGCTGGAGCCTTGCTGGGGAAGGGCAGGAGCCAGGCAGCAGGGACGGCGGGCTGGCGGGGGCGGCTCTGGCTGTCACCTTGGTGCCTGTACCTGTCTAGATGCACAGTGTGAACAGGGAGACCCCCCAAACCCCCGCCCAGGCCAGGCAGGGAACGCAAGGTGGAACCCTTCCCGGGCCCTGCGCTGCGCTGGGCTCTGGAGCCAGGCAGAGCTGGGCAGAGCTGGGCAGAGCCGGGCTTGTGGAGGCTGTGCTTCTCGAGGAGGGTCTCCTTGCGCCATGGGGAAGGGTGGTGGAGGCGCTAAGGGCAGGACAGAGCGGGGGTGAGCCGGTCTGGGGGCAGAGGCCTCTGGGAAGGGCCTGTGCGGCCCCGGGCTCCGCCTGCATCTCCTGTAGACATCAGCGCGGAGCAGCGTGCGCTGGCTCCCGGGCACAGGCGGGCCCTTCCCCTGTGGGCCTCTGTGAGGTGGCCCGGGCCCCCGTGGATGGCTGCGTCCCCGTCACGGCTGCAGGCCAGGGGCATGCGATGGTTCAGGGCTCAGAGGAAGGAAAGCACACCCTTGTGTGGGTCTGGCAGGCTCTGGTGGAGGCCGTGGTTGAGGAGCGGCCTCTGTCGGGGGTGGAGCCGGGTGGGCCGAGCCTGGGGCCCATCTGAGGCCGGGCTGCCCCCCTGTGCCCGCAGGGAAAAGTGGTGCCACATGACCCCGGAGGAGCGGGACGACAGCCTGCGGTTCAACGAGAATATCGCCTTCGGGCAGCTGGGGTAAGGCTGGCGGGGGCACCAGCGGGGGGCACCGGCCGGGCCGTGGCGTGGGAAGAGCTGGGGTGAGGCTGGTGGGGGCACCGGTGGGGGGCACCGGCTGGGCTGTGGCGTGGGAAGAGCTGGGGTGAGGCTGGCGGGGGGCACTGGCCGGGCCGTGGCGTGGGAAGAGCTGGGGTGAGGTTGGCGGGGGGCACCGGTGGGGGGCACCGGCCGGGCCGTGGCGTGAGAAGAGCTGGGGTGAGGCTGGCGGGGGCACCGGCCGGGCCGCGGCGTGGGAAGAGCTGGAGTGAGGCTGGCAGGGGCACTGGGGCACCGGCCGGGCCGTGGCGTGGGAAAAACTCGGGCCCACGCCGGCAGCCTTCCCGTCCCAGTTGGTCCTCTCAGCCGGGGCCGGGCAGCAGGGGTGACAGTGCCGGTGTCTGCCCCCAGCACCTTCACCCACAACATGCTGGCCTTCGGGCTGAACAAGAAGCTGTGCAGCGACTTCCTGAAGAAGCAGGCGGTGATCGGCAACCTGGACGAGGGTGAGCCGGGCCGGGCCGGGCCGGGCGGGGGCGCAGGGGGTCTCGGGCCATTAGGTTCCCGCTCTGCGAAGGCCGCATGCCTGCCACTTAGACACGCCGCTGAATCTACGCGGCTGGTTTCCGAGCCTCCCCCGAGTTGGTGGGTGCCAGGCCCCTGCTCCACCTGGACGGGGATGGGTGCGCTGGGTGGGAGAGTGGGATCGCGGGTGGGTGCCCTGCAGAAACGGACTCCAGCCACATCCAGTCCCCAGCCTGTTTGCTTCCCAAACTGCCCTGCCACAGGGGCCAGGGGGGCGGGGAGGGGGTCTGCGTTTCCTCACACTTCATATGCCGTGATCTGCCACAGCTGCTGCTTCTCCTGGGCCCAAAGGCCTTGCATGAGTGTTCTAGAAGACATTTCTATCCTGCCCCCAAGTTCATGGCCTCAGGAGGCACCAGGGTGTGTGTCCCCTGGCCAGTCGGTGCAGCCCCGCCTTGCCAGCGGCGGCCACCTCCTCCCCCTCACGTAGCCCCCAGCATCAGACCATCAGACCACATGCACTTCCAGAAGCTTCCGGGGCTGCACTCCACAGCCACGTGCCAATTCCCCACCCAGGTCCCGCTGTGCTCATACCGCATCCCTGTTCACTCGGGGCACAGCCCTGCCTGGGACGGGACAGGGCGGCCCGGGCTGCTGGGCTCAGGGGTCAGCAGCCCATCCTTAGTGGCTGAGGAGGAGGGAGGGGAGCGGCCACGCCCGCCCGCCCTTCCTCCTCCCTAACCCTGCATTCTCTTCCAGAACAATACAAGCTGCTTAGCGACCACATCGAGCAGATGGCCGCTGAGTAGGAGGCTGCGGGCCTCCACCATAACCCGCATGACAGCAGCGGCACCCGGCACCCGGAGCCGCCTCCACGTAGCGGTTAGAAGACCCCCGCTGCCCACCCCATCTGCCCCCGCCCCTGTACATGGCATCCTCGGGACCTTCTGCCCCCAGCGAGCCAGGCTTGCGAGACGAGACTGAGGGAGGAAGAGGAGGAGGTGGAGGAGGAGGAGGAGGAGGCGGCGGCGGCCCTGCAGGCTGTGGGCCAGGGCCTGGCGGGCACAGGGTTGCGGTGTAGCTGTGTCTAAGGAGGCGGTTCGTGGCTGCTTGTGGCCGTTTGTGGCTCCCGCTTGGCCCCACCTCCCACCGTGATGGGACCCTGGAGCGCAAGGAGCTCAGGGAGGGGACATGCACTCCTCGAGAGAGACAGGGCCGCGGACGGGCCTCCCTGCCCCGGACGGGCCTCCAGGCCCCAGAGGCCGCCGTGGCGGTGTGTGACACCTGCCAGACACTCCGGGCTCGCCTGGCGTCTCCGTCCACCCTCAGACTGTCTGCCCAGCCCAGCCTCCTTCAGAAGTGGAGGAAGTTCCACGCATCACAGGCCGAGGGCTAGGCATCCGTCCGCACAGCTGGGACGGGAAGGCCCCAGCAGCGGCCCACGGCGGCCCTTCCTGCAGCCTCGCGGGCTCTGGCTGCCCCGGGGGCTGAGCCAGGGGCTTGGCTGACCTCTGAGCAGACTGGATCTTGATTGACTGAGCTCTGAGCGCGGTGACCTCCACGGGAGGCACATCCACCCTCCACAGCCCCGGGCTCTGTGGTCTCCCCCCCACCCCCCCTCAGAAGTGGCCTCATCTAGCCTTCGGGACAAAGGCGTGGCCCGCCCTGCTACCTCTTTTCTGCTCCTTCTCTCCGCTGACCTTGAATGCCTCCTTTTGCCCTTCATGGCCCCTCCTCCCTCCCTCCATTCAGTCATGAACTGTCTGTGAGAACCACAAACCCACGTCTGTGCCCGAGGCTTCCCCGAGAGCCTCCCAGAACGTTCTAGAGTGGAGCAAGGCTGGGCCGTGGAATGTGTGTCCTCCAGGAGGCTGGGCTTTGGGCAGTGTCGGGTTGGGGCGCCAGAGCCAGTGGCGCCCAGGCCGGAGGCCGTGGCTCATGGGCAGGACCGGAGTGTGCTGGGCTGCGGCAGCCTGCTTGCTGGTGTGCCGCCTCGGACACTGCGCTCCGGCCCTCCCCTCCCCTCCCCTCCCCTCCCCTCCCCTCCTCTGCAGTCCCCTGCTGTGCTCCAGGCGCCCTGAGTAGGAGAAGGTCCCTGGGCAGCAGCTGCAGGGTCCATGCCGGTGCCCTGACTGAGCTTTGGGGGAGAGGAGCAGCCTGACCTCCCCTGGCTGTGCCCCACACAGACCCTCCAAACCCCAGTGGCTTTCTGTTGTCCCCCCCATCCGCACATGCTCCAGGGAGGGAAGCCGCCCTCCGCGGGTGTGGCCTGCTGCGCTCAGCCCCGGTGCTGCTCCCCAGAACGCGCTCCCAACTCCTCAGCATGCCAGCGAAGCTGCTGGAGCTCCGGAGCTTGCCCCCCAGCTTGGGTGATCATTTTGCTTTGTGTGTCTCCCCCCTCCTCCCCCCCCCCGTGCGTGGAGGAAGGGTGACAGCCTGCCCCCCAGCGGCTCTCCTCCCCACCGCACATCTCCTTCAGGCCCAGCAGGTTGGCTGGGCCCTGGTGGGTGCACACCGGCTGCTGTGGCCACTGGCTGAGCTCAGGAGCAGGGAGCTCCAAAGTGAAGTGCGTTCCCGGCAGACACACTGGAGCCCGGAGCAGCGCGGCCCTGCCCCTACCCCGGATTCACATGTCCCTGTCTGACCTGCAGGGACGTGTGAATCGCAGGGACCAGTACAGTGCCCTCCTCTCGCTCTTCCTGTCCCTCCCCACAATGTCAGAAAGGTGGCCAAGAACAGCGGAACCTGTCCACCCCCCCCCTCAGGTGTATTGCACTTTATCTAGAAAGATCCACCCAGCCAGGCCCCTCCCCGCCTTGCTCTGGAAGCACAGCACTCATGGAAAGAAGGGCGCCAGGCTCTGGCAGTGGGCCGGCCCTGGGAGCTGAGGCCCGAGGGTGGGCACCCATCCCCTCTTGTGTGAGAGAGAGAAGGCGCCCTCCCTTAGGTCCTGCTGTGGGAGGGGCCGGAGCGGGGCTGCATGGTCTTGAAGTGGACGAGCCCAACATTTGGCCCCCAGGGAATTGAGGGGGGACCCGGTGGTCTGAGCCCCCGGCCACGCCCGGAGCCCCCGTGCCGGGGGCCGCACCCCGCCCTGTGCCCCCCCCTCGGACTGTCTTACAGCAAGCCCCTCGGCCACCACACCAGGACTTGGGAGTCACGTGGCGGCGTAATCTCGTGTCCTGTAAGTCACGCTCTAAAATTCCATTTCCAGGTTGAGAAAGTGTCAGGGCAGAAGGTCTCCGAGCAGCTGGCACTAAACCTGTCTCCTGCCAGAAAAAACACCGCATCCAGCGCTCCCTGGGCTCCAGGGCGGGACCTGAAATAAACGATCTTTCAAAAGCCAGTGTGGTCCGCTGCTTTTCACACTGGGAGGATCGCGCCAAGCCGCTCTGCAGACAGGAGGCTCCCCGGGTCCCCCACCTGAGGGGCCCTCCTGCCACAGGAGGGCTCTGGGGAGGCGCGCGGGCCTCATCCACCCCAGCTGACTCCGCAGCTGACGGGGAGCCTGGGGCCTCCTACTCTCTGGTTCCCCCCAAACTGGCCAGTGGCCTAGACGGGCCGGAGCCTGTGGGTTCAAGGGGGACACGGCTACTCCCGACCCCTGTCTCTGATGGAAGGGGTCTGTCTCCAGGGCCCCGGAGGACAGGGATCCCCTCCCCGCCCGAGAGGACCGGACATGTGCCTGACACTCGGTGGCAGGCTGGCTCCCCACTGCCAGGATGAAGAGTGGGGCTCAGCCTGCGCACGCTTCCCTAAGAGAAAACTGCCTACCGGTACCTGGCGCCCGCCACCGCTATCTAACGCCTGCATCCAGTGCCTGATGCCTACTACCTCTACATGATACCCGCCACCGCTACCTAACACCTGCCACTTCTACCTGACGCCCACCACCTCTACCTGACACCCACCACCTCTACCTGACGCCCACCACCTCTACCTGACGCCCACCACCTCTACCTGACGCCCACCACCTCTACCTGACGCTACCATCTGCTTCCTGCAGACAGAAAGAACGCTTTCTAATTTTTTTTTAACAAACAGGAAGGAACTTAAAAATGTGTCATTCAAAAGCCACCAAACTAAATGTAAGAGAAATGGAAACAGCTTCCGAGCAGTGTTTCTCTACAATCTTTATGCCCCTGACCCAAGGTAGGCTAGGTCCCCTCCCTGCGTCCCAGGGCCCTGTGTCCGAGGGGGCCCCATATGGCGTCTCCCCTGGATCCCGTCCCTCCTGAGCCCCTCACCTGGGCCGGGGCAGGACAAGGCTCTCAGGTGTCAAGAAGCAATGTTGGCGCTTTGTGTTCTCAGGCAAAGCACTCAGAAGAGGTAGCAATAAACAGGACAAAGGAGGCAGCAGCCCCTCCCCCTTCCCTCCCACCCACCGGCCAAAAAGAGGGGAGCCCAAACTCAGCTGGTCAGCCTCCTCTTCAAGACCACCAGCTATGGGACCTCCTCTTCAGACCGGATCCGCGCAGTGGACACACAGCTGACGTTTTTGAAAGCTCACATGTGTAATAGACTATGTGTGTCCACGCGATATAGACGCGCAGGGGATCTGCGCACAACACTACTGCATCCACCATTGGATGGTGTCGTGACTCCTGGCTGGTTGCAGTTAGGCGAGGCTTTCTGGAGGAGGTGACCTGAGGCGGCTGATGGCGGTGGTCCTGCCGTGACCCCCCAGGGAGACTGTATGTCTCACTTTGCTGATGGGAAAACCCCGGGGGGGGGGCGGGTAGAAGCAGGACGGTGCACCTGCAGGACATGGACAAGCAGCCACCCGCCCTGCAGAAGCCGACAGAGGTGCGGGACAGACAGCCACTCCTCCCTGCCAGCCGCACGGTGCCGCTGGACGTCGGCCTGCAGCGGAATGGACTCTGACGTCCAAGCCCCACAACTTGTGGCGCTCCGTCTGGACAGCGCAGGAAGCAAACCCACGCTGCTTGCCACGTGATGCGGGGTGAGTCCCCTGCTCCGGCTCGGTGAGAGCTATGCGGGGCTCCTCGCCACCTACTGTGTGCCAGGCAAACAGCGTGGGTGCAGATGCAGCAAGCCGGGCCCAGCTCCATGCTCCCCGGGGGACACTGGTCCTTCTGACTCTTGCCAGGAATCTCTTCCTAGTTCCGGCGCCCCTGCCCCTGTCCCCCGAGGTCCTCCAGGGGGTCGTCCTCGGCCAGGTCAGCTACGCCTGCCGCCTCTTCTTTTCTCTGGCTCTGTAGCGTGCGCTGGGCGCTCTAGGTAACAACAGACGTCAGTGACAGCGGAGGCATCAGCGGGAACGGCAGCCCCGGCCCGCGGCTCCCCGGGGCTGGGCTAAGGGTTTCACACAGACCGGCTGACCGCCCGTGTGCACCACAGCTCTGGAAGGAGCGTGCTCTGCTCACCAGCCTCTTCTGCTGGGGGGGGGTTCCTCATGCCCAGAGAGGACACAGGGTACCCCAAGATCACACGGCAGGGACCAAGGCAGCCTGACCCAGTCCACCTCCCCTCCACCGTCTTTAGAGGGGGAGAGCCCCCCGTCACTGCTGCTCCCTGGGTCGCTGCTCCCACTGGGTCACCGTCCCCCCCTCCCCCCTGTCACTGCCCCCTCTCAGTCTGGTCACGGCTGGCTCTCCATCACCGCTCTCTGGGTCCCATGCCTGCCTGGCATGCTTGGGCTGTGGCTGGTTGTGTTGGTTCCACTTCAAGGCCAAGCCTCTCCAGACCCCACAGCCCCGTCCTGCCCCGCAGCGCCCTCCTTCATCGGATCTCCAGGTCTCGGCCACCCTTGTCTGCCCCCGCTTTGCTACGACCTTAGAAGCCACTCACACCCAAGTGCTCACCTGGCTAGCGGGAGCCCAGGGCACAGAGGGAGAGCTGCTGGCTTCGGCGTGTGTGTGCAGCCGCGCCCCGCCCTGTCCACACACACCGCGCATCTTGTCTCTAAAATCCTGCCGGAGAGACGGGGGGGGGGGTGAAAGGGGGAAGGGGACAGAGGCCTGTCTGTGCAGCTCCTATTTACATCTCCACAGCTGTCCTGAAAGTGGACACGGACACACCATTTCATACATAGAAAACGGAGGCTCAGGGAGGCTAGGCAATGTGTCCATAGGCACACAGGAAAATCACCCTCGTCCTAAAACAGAGTGTCACAGGCCTGGTAACCTGCGGCCAGCGACGTGGTAAGAGAAGGCGAGGTGAGACGAGATAAAGAAAATCGGGGTAAGGAAAGGAGAGCAGGAAAACCAGGCTGCTGCGGAAGTGGGCGCTGGGTTTTGCAGGAGCTCCTGGGGGCTGCAAGTTAAGTCTTTGGTGCGGCTCCCCCAGGGGTCTAGGTCTGGGGGGTATCGTCATCTGTCTTCAATCCTGGGCACGGGAGAGGGTGAGCATGCCAAGACCCACCCGCCGCCCGGTCGGCCGCTGGCAGCTCACAAGAACAAGGCGTCCGTTATAGAATTGCCGAAGGACAGGGCTGGAGGTGTGGCTCCAGTGGTTTCAAGCTTGCCTGGCATTCTGAGGCCATGGGTTCAATCCCCAGTGAGACCCAAAATTGAAACTCCCCTCCCTCCCCCTCCCCCTCCCCCCAGAGCAGGACCAGCCCGACCCACCTGCAGGTCTCCCTCCAGGTCGTAGTTTTCCAGGGTCTGGGAGGCATGGGAGTAGATCTCGATGGCCTTGGCGTGGAAGACCATCTCGATGCTCACAAAGTCCAAGAAAATCCTCTGTGGGGGAAACTGAGTCACATTGCAGGAACACACCTGTCACCCCAGAGCCTGACAGTGGGGGCTGGGAAGGGGGCTTGGCCTGCAGGGAAAGTCTACTCAGCCAGCAGTGATTTATTGTGTTTGAACCAGAGGGTCCAGGGCCCGCGCCCTGACCTAGTACTCATGGAGGACAGCGCTCTGCACCCTGCACAGCAAACCTTCCAGAAGGTTCTGCATGCCCTCCTCTGTTTCCTTGGATGCACCCCATTCTGCTTTCTCTCCCCGGTCACCCTGCTCTAATCCCTTTGGGTTAAGCTCCGTCCAGGAGTTCACGCAGGAAACCTCTAGCCCATTTTCAGCCCTGTGGTGGAGGGGAGGGGAGGGATGGGAAGGGGAGGAAAAAGGAAGGGAAGGGGAGGAGAGGGGAGGCCCAGGTGGAGTGGGAACACCTGCATTCCACCAGCAGCCTCCTGCCGGCTGGGCGGAGCAGGCGGAGCAGGCGGACCCTGGGGTCAGGTTCAGGGGCTGGGGTGCTGTCTCTGGCTCCTGTCCTGGGAAGGGCCTCTTCCCATCTGCTCTGCACCAGGAGCAGTTCCACAGCCCGTGGGGAGCCGGGCAGAGCAGGCCGGCTGTGCCTGGTGGGGCCAGGGCTGTGCCTCCAGGAAGATTTGCAGAGAGCAAGCAGGTAAGAGGCCTGCGCCACACCGCTTTCCCCGACGGCTGTTTGTAAACGCGGCTGCGGCTGATAGACCCGAAATCCCATGTGGTTTACAAAAAGAATGTGTTCGTTCAAGCTCTTGATTCTCCCTCATTTAAACCTCGGGGGGCTTTCTGGGAGGGCTGGGGTAAGTCTCTCCCCAGCTGCTCGGGTCCCAGCTCCCCGCTGTGGAGCGGCGGCGCCGGGCGCTGCAGCAGCATCGGTCCCGGGCTCAGCCGCTGGGCGCCAGCCCTGGCCGCGGCCTGACTGGGTACACGCAGCCTGGGAGCAGGCGCCACGCCTGGCATGGAGCGGCTTTTGTTAAATTGACAAACAGAAAACCACGAAGGACGCGACGGCCCCAAGCTAGGGGCGCTGCCCCAGGAATGTCAGAGGCCCCGAGTGCTGGGCCTCACTCCAGGCAGCGCGGCAGGCCCGGCCTGGGTGTCCCGGGAGCCGGGCTCCGGGTCCTCCTAGACACACACAGGTGCCCGCGCCCACACCACGCGTGTGCGTGCACAGAGTGTCGACACCCCACCTGGAGGTCCTGCAGCTTCCGCTCCTGGAAGGCGTCCACCATCCCCTCCAGCTGGTGGGTGGTGCGGCTGGTGTCCACCGAAGCCCGCTGTGCGTGGCTCTCCGCCTGGCCCCAGGGTCGTGGGAGGGAGAGGAGTCAGGGAGTGTGTGACCCGTGGCAGCCTCTGGCTGGCTGCTCTCCAGCCTCTTGGGGTGGCTAGCCTTCTTGCTCGTGGAGGGAAGGGCCGAGTGGAACTGTGGCTGAAGGGGTAGTTGGGCCTGCTCATGCGCTGGGTGGCATAGGCAGGCCCCTTGCCCTCTCTGAGCCTGATTTTCTGAACTCTGAACAAGAGTCAGCAAGGCCGCCTGCTTCCCAGGGGCTCGGTGGCACAGTGGCCTGTAGGGTGCAGACGGCGGCCTCCCAGGGGCGGGGCCTCCCGGGCTCCC